TTCCCTAAAGCCCACTTAATATGCCAGGAAGGACTGGTTTTGAAATCTGAGCCATCGCACATAAAGATAGCACCTTCCTTTTGCCATCATTTCAAATCTKGTAGTACACAAAGCTATGAGTAGTAATAATAAAAACTTCAAGTGTGTAGATATAATTAATGGTTAATTTATTCCAAATTGCATTTACCACACTGTTAGGTAAAACATTTATCAGCATGGCAGTTATTTGTAAAATAATCTTTCAAATAAATTGCATTCAATTTGTGTTTCTAATCAGCTGGTTACAAAATACAACAAGAAGAGGTCAACTGGAACTATATTAAATATATGCTGTATCRTTAGAAGAGAGATTAGTCACAATTATGTACCTAATCCATGTTATACGTATCTGTCACCATTATTGCTCTTCTTTTAAATGCTAAAGGGCAACAAAATGCATATAGGAAAGCTACTCTGGCTTTCTCTGGGGACAAATTATTATAATATTTGCTAGTGTTCAGAAAGTCAAAGGATTTGCACTTTGCATTATCCATTTGTTTAAAGGAAGGTTGTTTGCGATCTAAATAGAAACTTAACTTCAGTGGTTGTCTTCTCTATCAATTGACTCGCTCATACTTGAGTCCCTTTATGTGATAAACATGCACAGCTAATAGTCAATGATATGGTGTCTGTGTGTACAGAACAAATAAGAAAAGAAACAAATATTCCGTGTCTGTACTCCCATATCCAAAGCAGAGTACAATGAAGACCAAATATGTGTGCTTTAAAGGCAGAGTCCTTAAAGGTCATTTATGTTGATTTTTATACACTGCTATCACACAAAAATGTCACCTCTCCTCTTGTTGCTGAAATGCCACTGCCACCTTGCCTATTTATTTCAGCATATATAATTACTACAAACATTTGTTCTCAAGACTAGCATTCATGTTCTCAAAACATTGATGGAAAATTAAAATTACCTCTTTTCTTATTTTCTTCACTGGGGCATGTGGGCTTCCTTTTGCATAAACTCTTTCTCATTCTTTTTCATCACTATCTCATCATCACTGCCATGGAGGGGAACTGGGAGGCTACAAAGTAGAGAGATTCTTGCTCTTCCCTGTCAACCTGAACAGAAACTGCTCCAGACCATTTTGGCTCTTATGGCACTCAGTATCTGGTCTTTCCCAAAACAGAGCACTCAGGTTCCTATCAACAGTGACACAAAGTTTCTTATCCCATGACCAAATTAAAAAAAAAAAAATTCTGTGGCTTTACCTGAGTGAAGAAGTACTGTGTGAGTGGACCAGGGACCTAGCAGATCAAAAACCTGCACTTCATCTTCCAAAGCTTAGGACCTCTTTTGTGATTTGTCCTCCAAAAAGACCAAAATTTCCTACATCCAAAAGATTTTTCAGTAGGAGWCATCCCACCTTTCAAGTTCTACCCTGCAACCCCAAATGTGTAGGATTGTGATTCTGTCATTTCAAACYACAAAAGCACTAGTTTACACCTCTTTTGCTTTCTCCTCATTTGAAACACACAGGAGTCAATATGAAAAGGTTTGTATTTCTCTTTGTAAGCATGTTTTTCCCTGCTGGGTTTATAACATGACCTGTACCTGTCCCTCTGCCTGGAGCTGCACCAGGGGTTTTGCCACACACCCACTGCCAGGTGGGCAAAATGTAGGAGGAATCCATGGTGCACACACATACTGCTCATCTCAGCCTCTCTTGGTTTACTGGAAAAATCCAATGTCATACTTAAAGAACTGCTGCTGCTGCTAGGATATTTATACCAGCATAAAGTAYATTAAACACTTGCAGATTTTGAGTGCTACAGGACCTTTGCCCAGCCCTCCTGCAGCAGAGCCCACCTCATACCAGAGGAAAACCACAAGTCCCTGTAACCCTTCATTTTCCTCTACATTCTCCCCACCTGCCTTCCTCATTTAAGCCATAACATGTTGACTCTGGATAACTCATTAAGACAATTAAGCCCACTCTATGCGGGAGTTCAGCATCCCAGCCAACTCTGCCACATGAGCCTTTCCTCAGCAGATCCCTCTAACTCAGGTTATCCATTTCAGAGGCTGATTTTTTTTTCTCACTTTTTCAAAAACCAGACTTCGYTTACAATCACCAGGCAAACGGCAGGACCTGTTGTTCCCACATGTTTTCTGATCTGCTGGCTGGCCAGAGAAGAAGGATAATGATTATGATGATGATGATAATGATAATATAATGATTCAGTGGAAGYTATGCCCATCTCTTGGAGGCAGGGCAGCAATTTCAGCAGTGGCAGCCATCCTGCAGAAGCAAGCAGAACAGAATCTCTTCTGCAGTGCCCTAATGAAGAGCCAGGCAAGCTTGATGAGACCTCGAGGATCTGAGTACACCAAAACTGGGTTTTTATGCAGTGGCAGTGTCTGCATTGCAGCCGTCAGCAGCACACAGCAGTTGCTGCAGCCGGTGCTGGATGTCCCAACTTTCAGCATCCCTGCTTTAGCCAGCCTGGCTCCGTCTCTGCTCTCCCACTGCCCTCTGCACTCGAGGCAATTAAGCCAAGAGTGCAAGGGGATACTCAGAGACTTGCACCAAGGAATAACGAAGTTGCCCTGTGACGTAATTTTATAATGTAAGGGAAATMTTGAAAGAACAGCTACAGTCCTCCTACATGTCAGTTTGGCTGAAAACAGGTTCCAGAATCTATATACATGCACCAAAGTATAAAGAYGCTGCCTCCAATGATAAATCAGCTGAAGAGGAGGAGTCGCCCTGGTTGGGTACGGCTCCAGAGGGGGAAATCGTCTTCCCTGCAGCGCCGTTTTGGAAGGGAGGAAGGAGAGTGCTGAGGCACTCCGAGTCCAGCTCCCAGATGGCCGGGCATTCCTGCGGGGGCGCGGAGCGGCGGACACTCGGGGACTGTCCAGTGGCCACCCCCGCGGGTCCAAGAGCCCAGGAGCAGCGGGGCTGTGAAGGTGCAAACAGGCTGGGGGGGCTGACAGCCACTTGGGCGAGTGACACGGGCCGTGACCGCAGGCGCTTGTGCGCAGGCGAGGGGGCTAGGACGGCACCCGGCAATGCCAGTCACGCTGCTGGGACACAGCTCTGAGGGGTACCAGGCACTGCCTGCTTGCTGTGCCAGCCTGAAATTCTCGTGCCATGGCCGTCACCCGGCAAGCAAGGGACAGATCCTGCCAGATACCCAGCTGTGCTTTCAGCAGGTCCGCTGGGATGCTTAACTTCCACTCGGATCATTTGAGGTAGAATTCCGTGATTGATGTTCACGCTTCGGGGATTAAAGAAGAGGGAAAMGACCAGGGAAACGATCACAGAAAAYCGTAGCGTTTCTGGAGCTAAAACCACTCCAACATGTTAGTTGCCTTCGGGTTCCTTGATTCCTAGAGTTAGGATACATTAACTTCTGTCTTTGCAACTCCCTGTTCAGCCAAATAGGGTGAACGTCCAAAGCAGGTGCTTGGACGTAACTGAGAAGCATAAACCGCGAAAAATACAGAGAGGGATTGATATAGGGAAAATGGACCTACAAATGAGAGGAATAGCTGGAGCAGAAGTGTTAACGTCTCTGCTGATGCCCACCCTTGCTGAGGAAATGACAGAATATTACACCCCACACCTTATTAAATAAAATAAAGTAAAATAAAATTAAATAAACTAAAATATTAGATTTTCTTTAAAGGGTAATCACAGTTTACTTACTAGACCAGAGTGCTGACCAAAATGTCTATTTTTTCATGCAGGCGCAAAGACGCATCTTAGAGCACGACGCCCATTATCACCTTACACACCAAAGGGACTGATTTCTCCCTAGAAGTGCTGGCGCCGTGACCTGCAGCCCCTTTCCACTCCTCCACACAAGACCAGAGCCATGGCCTCCATGTCGAGCCATTTAATTTTGGGAAGCACACCTGAAACTGGGGTACCAAACCACTCGCCACCTGTGCATGCGCCAAA